TACTTCCAATGAACATAAATTAAGTAATATTTTGTGTTTGTCTGTAGCTAGCCAGACTGTACCCCTAAGTCCACCAAGGAGCAGTAAGTTCAACATAGGCAGAGGCTAGCAGAACCATCCTTCACTCTAGTACTCTAGTTAGGGATGGATGAGGAGCTCAAGAAGATGGCAGAGTTTAAGCAGAGGGGACCTAGCCACAGTTTTTAACTACTAATTTGAGATTTTACTTGGAGCAGGAATTGAAGTAATTTTTATAAATGAGTGGTTGGGTTGCCTGTCTTAGTTAGGGTTTCTGTTGCTGTGACGAAACACCATGACCAAAAGCAAGTTGGTAAGGAAAGGGTTTATTTGGCTTATACTTCAACATCACTGAAGGAAGTCAGGATAGGAACTCAAACAGGGCAAGGTCCCAGAGGCAGGAGCTGATGCAGAAACAGGAAAGGAAGAGGACATTCCTCAAACAACAAAAACCAAAAACAAACCAAAAAAAAAAAAAAAAGAAGAAAACTGCAGAGTTCAAAAACAATATAACAACTGACTATATCATGTTAAAACTAATTTTGAAATTCTGACAATTGGTCCAATGGTTATGCAAAACATTAACATTATGGAAGAGGGCATAAAGAACTATCTAGAATACTACTACAAATTTTCTCTGAGTTTAAAACTACTTACAGATACATATAATATATACAAATATAGAGTGTTTGAACAGGAAAGTATATATAACAATCTTAGGAGGCACAGTTGATTTCACTGAGAGTGTCTTCCTGAATCAGAACCCAGGAAATAAAATACAAAACGTAAACATTAAATACAGCCCTGACAACAGCTTTAGGTACTAAACTCACACAGTACACCTAATCTGCTAAAGACAGAAAGACCCAATATTATTAAACTGTAGAGAAAAAAAGAGTAAGGGTAGATTTCAAAAGATAAAGTATTAAAGCTCATAAAGTTCTACCACTTCACAATAAGTAGAGGATTTTGTTTATTCTTAAACAGTGTTGGGAACTGTACTCAGAGCTTTGTGCAGGGTGGGAAAGTACTCTGCTATCTAAAGAGGGAAAAGGGAGTTCCGAACTTCAGTGAGGTGGTTTGAAATGACATAATTTTGCAATTTCACTGAAAACAGTAAAGACATACTGAAGTGAGTCTTCCCTCACTTCAGGATAAAATTAATGCTGGAGAAAACTTACTTCACATTTATGCCTCTTGGCATATATCAAAATTAAGTGCAACTTCAAAAATTAAGAATTTAAAGCCAGGCGTGGTGGTACACACCTTTGATCCTAGCACTCCAGAGGCCAAGTGGGTGGATCTCTGAGTTCAAGGCCTGATCTACAAAGTGAATTCCAGGACAGCCAGGGCTACATCTACACAATGAGACCTTGACACATAAAACAAACAAACAAACAAAAGCCAGGTATGATGGTACAGACCTTTAATTCCAGTACTTAGAAGGCAGATTACCCTCAGTTCAAGGCCAGCCTGGTTTACATGGTAAGTTCCAGGATAGCCACGGTTATGTAGAAAGACCCTGTCTCAAAAGTCCAAAGTGCAAAAACAAAAGAAAAAAAAAAGAAACCTAAATTGAAGTTTAAGGAAGTTAAAATCAGAATACTTAAAAGCAAACTAGGAAATATCCACAACAAAAAAGACAAGAAAAACAAACTCAACATCTTTAATGTCAGCACATCCAAAAACTAGTTAGCAATAACAAACTTCATAAAAGCAAACACTCCCAAAGAAAAGTAGACATAGAACACTAACAGGGTCCATTAGTTCAAAAAGAAAATTAAATAGACAAAAACTATTGAAATTACCTACAATGAATTGTAATTTAAAAAACACTAGGTGTGGGTATAGTCCAATGATAGATTGTTTTTCTTGCTTGGATAAGAACTTAGATTTGATCTCCAGAAGTGGGGACAAAAGAAATCAAAAGCTAATATAACCCCAAATTACCAGAAGTTATTCTTAATCCAACATAGTAACGATTAAATAATGACTCTGCTCTATGCTGGCAAAAATTACAGAGACAGGTATTCCCTGTTCTGCAGGTAAAAGAATTAGCATCTTCTTGGTAGTAATTTGCCAATACCCATCAACAACCTTCAAAAATAAATGTGCTTTGATTTGAAACAGCCAGTAGTTGTGTTCAAGTGTAGCCAACTTGGCTTTCCAGAGTCCCCAAGTTCCTCTCAGGGGTCTACAAGGTCAAAAACTATGCTTTACAAAAATATTACTTCCCCTTCTATTCTATTGACATTTGTGCCTATTTTATATTACAGTGGGTAAGTTTCCAATTCATTTTCTTAAATGTGTTTTTAATAGAAATAGAATTGTATCACTTTCCTTTCTCCAACCCCTTCCAGCTATACTCTCTTAGACTCCCCCCATGGCCAGTACCCTCAGGTTAATAGCTTTTTAACTTCCAACGTTTAACAACAAATTGAGACAAGGGTACTACAGCCATTTTCAAACTCACATACCTAACACAGCTTAAAAAAAATAGAAAGTAGCCAGGCGTTGGTGGAGCATGCCTTTAATCCCAACACTCACTCAGGAGGCAGAGGCAGGCGGATCTCTGTGAGTTCGAGGCCAGCCTGGTCTACAGAGCAAGTTCCAGGACAACCTCCAAAGCAAAACAGAAAAACCCTGTCTCAAAAAATAAAATAAAATAAAATAAAATAAAGTAAAATAAAATAAAAAGTAGTCAGGCAGTGGTAGAGCATATCTTTTATCTGAGCACTTCAGAGGCAGGGGCAGATGGAGCTCTGTGAGGCCAGCCTGGTCTACGGAGCAAGTTCCAAGACAGCCAAGGCTATCCAGAGAAATGCTGTCTCAACAAGTAAATATATATATATATATATATATATATACATAAAATATTTCACTTCATAATATTCACTAATTAATTCTCATCCTCTTAAAATTCTGTATGCTGAATTTAGAAGTAAATAAAAACACCAGTTTTAAAGATATGATGGTGTTTCCATGGAGGAACGTACCTGACAAAAAGCAAAGTTAGCCACTTTTTCCAGGGAATACAATTCTTACTTGAAAAAACAATGAAAAAATTGATTATTCAGATTTGGGTATCTGGAAGACCTTAT